AATGTTCAACAAATTCGATCAAGTGACAATCTAGCAGATTTGTTCACTAAGGCATTACTTACCACAACTTTTGAGAAGATGATTCATAAGATTGGAATGCGTCGTCTTAGAGATCTTAAATAATGTCTTCAACAGGGGAAGACCAAAATGGGTATTAATGTGTGCAAGGAATAATATACTCTTTTTCCTTCACTAGGATTTTTTCTCACTGGGTTTTTTCCTAGTAAGGTTTTAAAGAGGCATATTCCTTGTACAATGGACATTCAAGGGAAAGTGTTATAAAATAATGAATATCCATCTACTTTTCATATCCCCACTACTCATAATCCTTAATGTGATTCAATTCATCATTCAATATGAGAAATTGAAAGGGTGATGCAATTGATGTACTTTTAATTATTCATAGTCCCTTCCAATTCTCATCTCAATTTTGAGGCCTATAAATAGGCTTGATTGTTCATTTGTTGATATACAAGTTTCCTAGACAGAATAAGAGAAACTTTGAAGTTCTTATCACATATATTCACTTTATAGTGAATTCTTCTTCTTGCCATCCTTCCTTTAAATTCTCATATATCTTTTATTTTTTATAACGAGTTTCTTAATTATTTTTTAAATTGTCAAATTATTACCTTTTTTTTCTTTTTAAAATAGCCCAACTTTATTTTCTTGAAAAAAAAATCCAAGAAAATGAATGGATTAGACATATATATTTATAAGTTTGTTTTCCTAAAATTAAAAATATGGTAAAAGAATTTCTTCTCTCATGAACTTATGAAAAATAAGTAGATATAGATGATGCAAATTTTATGGAGCAAGTGACTCAATAAATCTTGGCACACATGTTTAAGGATACCAATAAAGTTATATAATGTAGATTATGAATTATGATTAATACTTATTAACCTTTTTTATCTGACGTAATAACTTTAACATTTAAGATTTATATTAGAAACTAAAAAGCATGTAACGGAGATGCAAGTTAGACCCTATAAAATATATTAGCTACAAAATATATCACAAAGTAAAATATTTAAACTAGTTGAATGTAAAACAAAAATCTTGAAATAATAGGTTTTCCTATTATTTGCGGTATTTTTTTTTTTATATATTACTTTTAAAGGAACAAATTGAGGTAGGTTATTTTGAATTTGAATTTATAGAGTTACTTGAAGTAATTAAGAAACATATTTCTCAAATTCCCAACTCAGGCTTACAAAAAGCCACATGTACATTAAATAATGTAAAATAATTTATTTTTAAAACAGTGAAGTAAGAATAACACCATCTCAAATTAAAATAACTTAATTATTTTTCAAAATAACACCCAAATCTAATAGAAACAATACTATTTTTTTTTTTAAATTAAGATTAAAAAAAGGTGAGGCCAGAAGATTGATAAATGGATGAATTTCAATCCCCAGTATCCAAAATCTTCCACCTTCATTAGATAGCTTACTTGAAAAATAAAAAGAAAACAAAAGGATACTTTCCTAATTCATGAAATACAAAGGTATTTATTTAAAGTTTTTCCTTTCACTACCAAAAATTTCACCAATATATGCTTGATTATGCGCTTCCACTGGAGAGAAAACTCTTCCATTTAATATTTTGAAACCTCGCATGCAAAGAAATTGGTGCACATGCATGAGAAGAAAACTAGCAATCAAGAAAAAAAGCTTGGGAAGAAAATTCTGTAAAGTGAGTTAGCGTTTGGACTTTTAACTGGAAATTGCCGCGAATTTGAAGCTGAGATCGAGCCAACATTTCCTGAACCCCTCACCTCGAATGCTACACAGCAACAATCGACAAGGATTGGCAAGCTCTATGGCAGTTGAGGGAGAGAGTTCAGAATAAGTTGGATCTTCAACATCCTTAATTATAGAGAAACAAATGGTGAGAAGGATATTGTGGAGTCACGTCGAGTGATGGGAAGTAAGCTCTCAATCCCCACCAGAGGTTTCCAACATTCCCATTCTTTGAAGCAATTATAGACTGAGATATTGGAAGCCTCTGAGGGAGATTGGAAGCTTCTCCAACCATTGCATAGTATACATGAAATCTTATTCTCAGTGGCTATACCAAAATATAGGCCTTCATCATGGGGTTTATATAGATTAGTTTGCCCACTTGGCGTTGAATTCAGGTAGAATCCTCCGTACAACAGCAACATTTTCTTATCTTGTTACATTATCCCATGCGCAGATAACCAAATCTTAATCAATACCCTGTAAAGTGACAAGAGATACCTATCAGATATGCACCTTACTGTTCAGTTTCCACTTGAAGATTTTTTCTACTGTTGGTTTTCTGCAAAACCAGTAGTGGCAAAAGCAATGCATAGCTGTCAACTTTTGGAGAATAATATAGATAGATAATCAACTGACTCATTCCCTATTTCAAAAGTCAAGAGAATGATTAATGGGAATTGAACCTTGATGGATACTAAAACTCATTCTTTAATGGGAAACATGTCTCTTGAAATCTGGAAACAACAAGAGGCCACTACAAACCTTTACATTTACATTCTAGACTTGGAATCCATAGCTGAAAGAATAAATCAGACTAGCTAGCCCTGCACGGATATCGCAATTTGGAGAACATCAAGCACATCCATCTTGGTTTTAAATTGACAAGCACAAGCATCTTAACTCTCCAAATGTCTAGACGAACCTGTCCAGCAGTTGCCAAACCACATATATAGGCAATTAATCTTTAATCTAATGTCATATTTGCGTAGGCAGAAACATATTAATGTATCTATCAGTAAGAAAAAACTCTTAACATTCTCTTGCTGTAATTGTCCCTTCCAATTCCAAGCAGCCTTTAAAAAGCCCCTAAGAATTAGGCATGCAGATATATAGTGACACTGCAAATTCTTCTGTTGTAACGTCATCCAGATAGGTGATGCAATATAAAGTTATGTATTACCTTGGCTAGAGTAAGCAGCATTGATTTTCAATCAAACCATATACGTTTTGAAATTTTAAATCCCTTCTATTTACCCTCAAAATGAAAAGCTACCATCTGTATCATCAAGCATAGGACTAATTAAAATAAACTTTCTTTTAAAATCTTATCTTGTTTAGAATTTAGGGTATCAAACTTTATCAAAGTATAGCAAAATATTGTTTGGTTGTCCTTGTGAATCATGTAGGTGTCGATTATGGAATTCGATATGAAAAGTTAGGATCTAAAGTATACAATTGGAGGAGGATTAAAGAGAAGAAATTTATTTAACGGTTCTATCATGCACTTTAAAAAAAAAAAATTGAGGGGAAGAAAATGAAACCCTTTTTTGAGACTATTTTGTTTCTTTTATCTCATGTTTTCAATGAGTCCGACCATGGAACTATTATTGGCCCTGAGTTGTTTTAAGTCTTTTTGTTCCTTTAAATTTCCAAACTCCCCCTGGTTTTCTTGCTTGCATGTTTTTCAGCATTGTTTCATAAATTTGCAAAGCTTGCTATTACTTGCAGTTGGGAGATCAAAGAGCTAGAGGTGAAGATCATGCACTGTTAAATTGGTAATCTGTACTTGTAGGACTCAACATCAAGATGTAATTTATATTCATCTGATGCAGCACAATTTGTAGCAACTTATGCACCTATTTTTGGAGAAAATAGGCTAGTCCTTAGAGCATCAAATCATCAATGGCTCTCTTGATAAGTACCAAGTTGGAGAAAATCCATCAACATCCAAGGATTGGATTCCCAAGAGATTAACATTCCGTCTAATCACATGTTATTTTATTGGGTTTGGATCAATATATATTCCAGCCCTTTATTCTCCACTTTCATGCCCTCCGTTGATATATAAACGAGAAACATCACTACATCAAAAGTCAATTTTTTCATTATTATGAACATAAAACTTTCATAGAGTTATAAACAGTTAACCCTCCAAATCGTATTCAAGACTGTATGTATCTATATAAACTCATAGAGGGTTGGAGACTTCAAGGAAGCCAAAATATAGTACCAGGTGCAGGGGTTTCAAGAAACAAACTTCCTTATTACATTGTTCTCTAGGCTTGGTTCTCCAACTGAACAAAGTGCCTGTCTAACATCAATGAATGTTTTTCGTATGAAATACTAACCATCAAAAGCTTAAAATGTAAGAGATAGGCTTTCGGACAATGTGCAGATCTAAGAGTATAGAACAGTTACAATAAAAAAGAAATTGAATCATACTTCATTTCTTTTCAGTAAATCACTTTGTGTTCCAATGGCTCTGACTGTGAGGGTCACCATAGAGTGCACTTTTGTTTTGCAAACAAAAAAAGATGCAATCACATGTTGTGGATCAGCAGTATAGAAAAAGACTGTAACGGAAGAAAAAAACTAAGATCTTGCAGATATTTATTTATTGTTTTTATTTATTATTTATTAAGAATAAGTTAGATTAAGAAAAGAATATGAGAGTCCTAATTGATGTGATATTTTAATTAAGACTTTCTACATTAGTGTGAGTCTATTTAGGCAATAATCTATTAGGTTCAACCGATAGTTACTAGGTTGACTGATGAGTTTGGTTGTTTTAAGGAGACAAAAAATGTTTTTGCTAGAATGAACAGCTGATGGAAACAACTAATTTTATCACTCTTAGAATTTCTTAACTCCTCACTGATTCATTTCAGTATTATGTAAAAGAAGAAATAAAGCATGCTCCCAAGTTGTGTTTGTGTATTTGTAAAGACACCCAGGGACTTCGTTTTCCTTCTCATTTAGAATGATAAGCTATGGTTGCAATAGGAAAAAAATAATAATAAACTTTTACCATCCTTGCTAAACGAAATAGTTGCAGAGTGATCGGTTGGAGTGGCTAAAGCCGGCACCTCCATCGTTACGTTTCCTAGAAAAACCACTACATGTTTACACAACTGAAAGACTCCGTGTGTGCCAACTTTTGCTGATTCTGTGTGCCAGCTTCTACACCATATCAGTGCTCGATGGTCAAAACGCGAAAGCAATGCTTCCTTGTTCATACATGTGACTTAATCAATTCAAATCAAATGCTCGAGAATAAAGGATGGATGAGTCAAGCGAATGTACCTTTTGGGAAAATGAAGATTTTATAAGCCCTCTTTTGGCTTCAGGAAGGGAGCTCAGTTGTTCCTTCTTTTTCCTCACTCTTTCTATGGTTTCATTCAGCTTGCATACAGCTTCAATCTTCCCCTCTTCAGCCAGTCTCACTTTCTTCCTTGCATCCTCCAACTCAACCCTGACATCTTTCATGTTTTTCTTTTCCATCTCGTCCACCATGGCCACTAAGCGCATGCACGTTCCATTCTTCATATCATCCTTGAGGCCCTTAACATATTCCATCATAGGATTACACATCTGTTGTGATAATCCCTGTATTAAGTCCTCCACGCCATCCCTTACTGATCCAAGCATTGTAATTACATGTGGAATATGGCTCGGAGAAGATTTACTGTGATGACAACAGTGTCATGGTTTTCACTATCAAGGGTAGACACTAAACATATGGATTTCTGAATGAATTTTTTGAGGAAGCCATGGTGGTTATCAAAGTTCTGGAGGATTTCATCTTGGCTCGAATTAACATGGTTTGAATTTGTCTAAGGAGTATGACAAGTTGTGTAAATTGCATCTTTCGTTTCTCTATGAGTTCTTCGCCAGCTATGGCAGCTCTAGCAGAAAAATTTTCTCCCTGCATACATGGAATGTTGGTTGAGTGTAAATACAAGGCGAATCCCAACAGTCAAATTTGCCACTAGCATTTTCTATAGTAAACTTATAAAGTTTCACGTGCAGATATGCTCAAGCTGGTCATGCTAACAGCATCACACAAGTTCTAATTGCAAAGTCGTAGTTCTTTGTGATTGAAGAGGCGAATTTTAGAACCAGATAACATGGGAGAATTTTCACCTATACTAAGCGTTTGCACGCCCAGAAGATTCACACAGTAAAAGGATTGAAAAAATTGTAATCTAATAAATAGGTAAATCTTAACTTTCAAAAAATACAAAATTTATACCTCAAATGCACTAATCTGAACATTTCGATCTCTGCCTCCACCAGAAACTGCTCCATTCCTCTGCCAAACAGATTTAACTAATCGATAGAAAAATATTCAATGACCTAAAAATGAAAATAATAATAATAAAAGCACGAATACAGGATTTGATTACGTGATTAATATCATCATCAATTATAATTCCACTGAACTGTCCTTCATTAACCATTTCCACAATTCTTAAACCAACAAGCTTTATCAATGGAATCGCCAAAGAGGCAAGCACTTCTTCTGCCTACAAAATCAATGCAATTTAGTTACAAAATCGAAAACTAAATTCGAATAAGCAAAGGGAGAAACTGACAGTGTTCAAAACGATTTACTTGAAGCAAATATGTGTTGATTTGAGACTTCAGCTGCTGATATAAGATCTTCAATTGCTCATGGCGATAGACTAGCTTTGTGAACTTTGGGTGGAGTTCCGCTGTTGACGGTGGAGGCGAGATTGGAGATCTTTCGGTGGCCAATTGCCATTTTGGCGGGACAAAGTTTAATGTGAGAGTTCTTTTAATTTTAAAATTTGAAAATTTTTGAATTTTTTTGAAATAAATGATAAATTATGAAGTGAGCATAATTGATGCGAATCAACAACCTTTGGAATTCGTGGAATGATATAAGCACGATAATAGTTGTAAAAAACTCGTTAGCCTAATTTTAAGATTTTTTGGGCTTATTTCAATGCCAAATGGACTAATGACCAAAACCCATGGGCTATGTCCATGACATAGGGGTGATTTTGGTCAAAAAACACTCGTTTAGACTCTTAGAATTGAATTTTACTATTTTTTGAGATTTTTTTCTTATTTTTTAGGTTATTATTATTTTTTTCCTTTTAAAATTGATTTAGGGTTTTGGCCAAATTTTCCTATTTAGGTATGACTTAGAGGCTAAAAAATATAGCTTTCTTTGATTAATAAAAGTTTATGAGAGAGTATCTCAAGTTTATCCAAATTTTTGATATTCTTTGAATCAACAAAATTGAAGTCTATTTCTTGGTATTTATGCATAATTCAATAGGTTGTAGTAGATCGACATCTAAATTTGAGATCAACATTATTTATTTCTTTCTTGTAAGTTTTTGCTACATCACATGGTATCGAGAGGTCGATTGTTGTTTTAACCATGCTTGCTAAAGAGACAACAAAAAAGGGATATGGATAAGATCTATGAGCGCATTGATGTGGTTCGTTTAGAGCAACGAATTGAGCGAGTTGAATGACGGGATGGAGCATTCATTATAGCAATTGACACGATAGATAAGGGCATTGGCGTAGCAGATGGGTGCACTAACGATGAACATAGGTAGAAGGCATCGGAACCGGAGCCGATCATCATAATTGGGAGGCACCGGATACTAGAATGGATGATGAGGAGGATGAAGAAGATGTTCCATGTAGACAATAAAGGATCCTTGTGAGAGATTATGATAGTAAAAGATGGGAACTGGTATGCGGATCGAGATTCTCAAATTTTATGGTACCCTCTGCACGGAAGAGCTCTTGGCTAGTCGTTGACGATGGAGGAGATTTTGGAGTTTAAAGAGGTTTCTAAGGACAAATGTGTGTCTTTAGCGACCCATTGGATTTAGAAAGAAAGCAACATGTTGGTGGGAGTAGTTGAAACTAACCCGAAATAGGATGGATAAACCTAAGATTAATTCTTGAAAAAAAATGAAGAAGCACTTGCGTATTGCCTTCTTACCTTAGAACTTCCAAAGGATGATGTACCAATAGTTGCGAAACTAAGATAAGGGGCCCGATCGGTAGATGATTATACCACCGAGTTCTACTAGTTGCTTGCTCGAAACGAATTACAGGAGACAAAGGATCAATCGGTGGTAAGATATATTGGTGGTTTGCAATCACGGATCAAGGATTCAATTAATATGTTTAACCCTCTCGTGTCTTTCTGTTGCCTTTTAGAAAGCACTACGGGTTGAGAAGGTGTCGGCTTTATTAACCCTTTCTACGAGGGAAGTAGTAGCGGCACAAATAGTTGTGGTGATGTAGCCCGAGCAAGAGGGAAAGGTAGCAAGAACTCTACGGTTATTGAACGAGTAGTAGGGCAGTCGATATCAACGGAAAGTGCTTTGGGTATGGTGAAGTTAGAGATCGATACTTCGAGTGTCAAAAGACAAAGAAGAGCACTCCTTGTTGATGCTAAAGATTATGATGAATGTGATGTAGAGCTAATCGGTGATCCAATTTATGATGATAGAGGTATCTCAAAAGAGGAGGTTATGATGGAAAATTAAGGGATCGCACCCTTTGTTAGGAGGTCTTACTCGACTCCTAAAATCACCGACTATGATTAGTTACGGAGTAAAATTTTTCAGTCCATTTGTATAATAATCGGTACTCGTTGAAACTGAAATTAAATAAAAATTTCATATTAAACACAAGGGAAACAAATTTTAAGGGTGTAAAATAATCCTTAGGAACTTTAACGAATATATATATAATAGTTAAAATAGTTTTTCTATGCTTAAGGGATATTTTATTGATTTTACGGTACATGAATAGTAGGTTTTGCATGAAATAATTAATTAAAGCATGTTTTTATGAATGAAAAATAGTTTATGTGCTTAGAATAATTTTTAGAGGGGTGTTGAATTATTTTATATGCTTGGGTAAATTTTATTATGTGCTATGAATATTTTATTTAAATTTTGGTGTTGGAATAGTATTTTTAGAGGAAAAGAATTTAATTAGGCACCTTAAGAGTATGAGGAATTTTTTTTAAGAGCAAAGAATAATCATATAGGATGTATGAGAGTTCCTAAAAAATTTAAATTAATTTTATTAAGTATAGGGAATATTTTTAATAGGAAACGAGTGTGATTGTCACACTAAATAATTAATTTAGAGGCTCAAATGAGGTCAAAAAATTATAAAAATTTAAAATAAACTCCCTTAATAAATATTTGAAGTGATTATGAAATTCAATTGGATTTTTGAAGATTAAAGTATAGAATTTTAAAAGTAGGGATTAAATTACATAAAATTAGGAACTCAATTGCATAAAATTAAAAGTCTAATAATCCAAATTAAATTATGTAGGAATGTTAAGGGTCACAAATTAGTCCTAGAAATGAAAAAGGGAGGATTATAAGTGATGTTTTTCATAAAAGAGGGATTTGGGAAAGAATAGGCTATGGAAAAGTCTAGAAACTTGGAGGATCAAAATTTATTATTTTCATTCCAAATTTGCCCAACCTAAAGCATTAATTAAGTCCGACTTCCGAGTAAATTTTGTGGCTGAATTTAAGCTAAATGAAAGGCTTAAAAGAAAAGAAGAACAAATGGCCAAAATTTAGCAAAATAAAAAGAATTGATTGGAAATTGAATTAAGGGCTGATATTCACCCAAATTAAGGGTGAAAATCAGGTCAACAAGCCCAAAAATTTTTTCTTTAAACAAGGGTGCTGGAAAAATTAAAAAGGGAAGGAGAATTGAAAAAAACAAAGGAAACTCTTGCAAAATTTCTACTCAAAAATTAGCCAAAATAATCCTAACCAATTTTAGACCCTCTAAATTAGTGGATTAAGCTTCAATTTCAAGTTGGGAGCTGAATACCTTCCAAAAGAAAATTAAAGGATCTAATTCAAATTTAGGGGAAAAAAAAGGAGGAAGAGAATTTTCAAGCAACCTACCTTTTCAAGGTTAATTTAGAGCTTAATCATGTAATTTAACCTCATCGACACCATAAGCATGCTTAATTTCAAGTCAATTTCATGTTTAATTACTTGATTTGATTTAATTGCTCAATTAAGAAAAATTAGGGTTAGGGTTCTTGATGAACCAAATTTGGGGATTTTGAATTCTTTCATTTAATTGGCATTTTGGCACTTGATTTTAACTTATTTGAGCATGAATTAATGTTTAGAAATAAAAAATTACACTTTAATTGAAGAAAAATCTACTAATGTTTAGGAATTATATTTGGCCTAAACTAAGCAAATTAGCGTTTGAGTTCAAAGCAATTTGATTCTGGTTTGATGAGTCATTAACATTTGAATAAGCATTTTTTGATGAGTAGAAATGGAAAATTTTCTAAAAATTGAAGAAAATGTGTTATATGGGCTTGGGCCCAATTTCGGCCCATTAGGGCCCAAGATAGGTTTGGGCGGGAATAAGGGTTTTTAATTTTAATTTAATTAATTCTTCTAGTCAGTAAATATTTAGGCTACTTTTTATTAAAATGGTAGGGCAAAATGAGAAGAAAATCTTAGGAATTTAAATGGTGAAATATTTGGCCTAAATGAGGAATTTTGGGAATTTAAATGGTTATGCTTGAGTAGTGATTGGTGATGAGAATTGTGGTTATGGTAGTTGATGCACCAACGTTGGTTGCACTTGCTTGATATGGGTTGATGTTATCTATGTCGTTATGCTATCCGACGTGTTTTCATAACATAGTTACACGACCATTTATGACATGCACTTGAGTATCATTGTTAGCATGCATTGTCATTCAAAATGCATATGCATGCCAAAGCTCATGAATAATGTTTTAAGTCATGAAAACGTATTTGATGTTATGAGTTTTCGATAGCAATTAGAAGTATTTTAAAGAAAATGATTTTCATGACTTTGAGGATTTTTATGAGGATGAGCTTCATGGGTTTTTCATATGGTAATGGTAATAATTCGGGATCGGGCAAGTGCGGACGTGCACTTTTAGAGGTTCGGTAAGGCACGTCCGTGGACGAGTCCGGTTCACCGGACATATATTATGGAATCTCCGAAGTACCTAAATAGGACATGTCCAAAGACAGAAAAAGGATTTTTAGACTCGTTTATGAGATGTTTAATGACATGAGAAAAAAGATTTCTTATGTATATATCAATATTTTATACATGCATCTACATGCATACACACTACATGCATACGTTAACTTAATGGGTCGTAGCTCATATAGTTTCTTGTGGTATAGATAAATAAAATACTATGGCTTACTTCTCGACGGAGCTGATTTCGAGGAATGCATTAGACGATTATACCTTGGATGGGGCTTCGGGATCTAGATGGAGATACTACATGCAATTTTATTTATAGTACTAGCTATTGACTTGCATGTTCTAGAACTAGTTGGACTATGTTATGTTATATTAGAAGCAATGAGCAAGTAAGTGTAGTACTTTAAAATAATATGGTTAGTAAATAAGTCAAAATGTTTAATAGTCGATATATAAGTAGTTGGGTATGTAAATTAGTAACCTATATGAATCGAAATACCGATAGTAAAAATGATAATGTATTGATAGTAGTATAGTTAATTTAAATTATCCATTGCATGCTAGCATCCTTGAATATTTAAGAGAATTTCTTAATTAATGGTTAAATAAAAAGAATAGTAAATATGAAAGAGAATAAGTAATAGAATAATAATTAATAATAAAGAATTACGTCTCAATGAATTACAATAGTTAGTAAAGAAAGGATTTGATCTAGCAAATAACCTCAAATCCAGT